CACCACCACCAACCACGTGGGGTGGGTTGGGCCCACATGGTCATCAGCATCCTTCATCTTTACTGTAGCAGACGCCAGGCACAGGAAGGCTGGGATGCCGAAGTTGTAAATAAACACCAGTTTCTCCACCCTGAGAGAAAGGCCACACAGACCCTACAGCCTAAGGCCAGGACACCAGGCAGGCTGGCCACACCTCGCCCCCTTCTCGTGCTCTGCCTGTGCCAGGCTGGGGATCAGGAGGATGGTCCGCAAGCAGCTGAAAGTTCAGGCCTGGCAGGGAGCAGCTTGGAAAACCACAGTTTCTGGGCAACCTGATCTGCCCGCCATCAACCAGGCCCAAATTTAGCACCAGCCAAGGTGCTCGCGTGTGAAATCCCATCTGCAGGAAGAAAGGTTACCGCTGCAGAATGTCAAGTTCGAAGATAGAATCCTCTCTTTAACAGGCAAGTTTAAAAAAGAAGAAGAAAGAAAAGGGGAGTTAAAAAAAAAAAAAGCCCATCAGAAATTAGAAACACAGCTCCTTCTGGTGACAACAGCTCTGACCATTGGTTAACAACCCTGGAACACTGAAGTGCTGGTCTGGACTTTCTCCATCTTCCACAGCAGGCTTGGGTACCAATAAAAAAAATATCAAGACCCCTCCCAACAGCAAAAGTGGTGTGCGTTGAGGCACTGTGTGTCTTCCAAGGGGAAGCCCAGCTTTGGGAAGCAATTTCAGACGAGCTGAGGAAGCAGAATTGAGGGATACCCAGAAAAGACTGCTGTGATCCTTAAATATAAGTTCAACACCTGTTTCTAGCTCCTTCTGCAGAAAAGGCCCCCAAGCTGGGGTCCTCAGGAACTAGACAGAACGGTCACTTATGGGCTGGACTTGTCAGTGTGTCCAGAGGTCTGGCCAATGCTTTGGTCTTATTCCCAGAGAGATGCCCCTCCTCTGTCCCCTCCGATCCTCCTCCAAGGTCCTCACCTCCTATCCACCCAGCTCCTGGCCCCGAGCCAGGAGCCACGAGCCACACAGAGCGCTTTCTACTCGGCTCCCCACCCGCAGCTACTGCATTACAACGAAGTTTCCAAAGTTAGGATCCCGCCAACAAGGCTGATAGCTTATTTACTGCTGTCATCTATAGAAAGAGGAATTTTGACACACTGTTAAATGATAGCACATTTAGATAAGTCAAGCTGTCAGAGGCTCTAATGGATGTCTAAACTCTCGGTGGCTGATATGTAAAATTTATGCACTTCAGAATATCATAAGGTTATAATATTTTAATCACATCCACGCTCTTTTCTAAACTTTGAGCAGGGAAAAACATTCCATCAAGCTCCGTTTTACGGAGCTCTTACATTAAGAGACCGTGTCACCCCAAATGTTTCGGAAACTCTTAGGAAAGTTGGGCCTCTCTCTTGCTTGTCCTCTGGTTTTTACTGACACCTCCAGCAGAATCTCCCTTTTCCTGCCCAATGCTACCATGTGGGCTGGAAACACAGGCGCAAATTTGGGCTGGGTACCTCACCTAGGCTCTTGTTAGCTTAAGGAACCTCTTGGAGGGGGGGGGGCGGGGAAGAGGGTCCTGAGGCACTAAACCCTCAGTCCCTCCAAAAAAGAAAAAGGCCAAGGAAAGCAGAAAAAGAACAAGTATTCATAAAAGGCACAAATCTGGTTACCAGGATGATACACAGAAAAGCCATAAAAAATACTGCATTAGTAATGTTCACCATAAAGCAATCCTATAACTAAATGAAATATGCCCAGCATTATCTCTGGGTGGAATTTTATTTCGTCTCCTGAGCTGCTAGAATGGAGAGAGAGAGAAAGAAGAGAAGAAGGGGGGAGGCAGGATCTGGACTGCAGAGTGGGAAACCCAGGTGGGAGCACCTGGAGTGCCAGCCTCAAGTCCCTAAGGTTGTTGACTGACTTCCACCCCATGGGAGCCAGCCCTGAAGGGCTCAGAGTCTGCAGAAGGGAATGACTGAGCCACTTTCATATTTGAAAAATGTGCACTTCCGGAGAGCTGCACGCTGGACTGGCACAAGGTCACCTTTCTTGCCCACGGTGCGGTGGTGTCAGCAAACTGGTCCAGCCCAGGGACTAGGAGCACCTTTACTGCATAGGCCACTATAATTCTCAGCAACCAGGCTTACAAGAAACCATCCAACTCTAAAGTCATGAGCCAGGGCTGCGGGGCAGGCAGGCAGGCAGGCCGGAGGGTCCCAGGCTCTCCTCTTGGTCTGCACAGGGCCAGGCTGGGGACCTGCGTCTCCTACCCGCAGAAGTTTTCCTCCCCTAGAAGAGGAGCTCTGAGAGGGAGATGGCAGACGAAGGCAAGTGTGGCGGAGGAGTCATTAGCATTAGGTACCAGAGCAGATACAAGCGCCACTGCTGAGGTCCATCGCCCGGTTCCAACAAAAACATACTGGGAGAATCCAGGGCTGTGCCGGTGGGCAGAGAACGAGGACAACAGGGACTACGGAAAGCTTCCTGAGGGGGGTGGGGAGCCGGCAGATGTGCGCTGCCGGCCTAAACGTCTGCACGCCACGGCTGCCACATTCATTTCCCAGTGCTCTGTGAGTGTCTTTCCAACTCCCTGGGGGACACCCCCGCCACTTAATATCGATGTAAATGAGCTCCCCCTCCCGGGGAGCCTTTGCGTTTTGTGCCAGAAACAAGGCCATTGTCTTAACGAGCACCCCCTGCATCCCTCCCCTGTCCGGGGACGGGTCTTGGTGTCCTCTGCCCCATCACCTGCATGGGGCCTCCCCTCCTTCCTCCCTAGCTCAAATCTGCCTTTCCATCTCGGCCTCTTCTAAAACCCTAACAAAGGGTTCCCAGACCCGAGGGAGTCCGGCTGGAATCAGCACTGGGGTGACCTCAACAGCTCCACAAAACAGCCCTGAGCAAAGAAGAAAAAGAGGGAGCTTCCAGCCCCTCTCCACCCCAGCTCTGGAATCAGACCCCTGGGAGCCACACCCACCCCTGCGCACCCGGCCCCCACGCCTCTCCCCCGCTGCTGGCAGCCCTAGCTCCCCGGATTGAAAACGAGTTATCTAGTGAACACTGTGTTAACTGACATTCCGACCGAGCGGGAGCAAATACCAGTGCTGTAAATCTCACGGCGGAAATTTTCTCCAGCCCAGAATAACAATAGGACCCTGCGAAGGGCTTTCGCCAGCGCTTCTGGTTCCTCTCCTCTCGTCTGCCACGTTCTTGTCATTCCTTATGCTACAGAACATCAATCATAAATAAAGACGCTGTCCCCCAGCCGTGCCCGGGTCTCATTTACAAACATTAGCAGGGAATACGATTACCATTGGCCTTCGTGCCAAGCCCAAGGTGGCTGCCCAACACTCACTCTCTCTCTCTCTCTCTCTCTCTCTCTCTCTCTCTCTCTCTCTCTCTCTCTCCCCCCTTCACCCCACAGCCCCTACTCTTCCAGAAAGGCCACTTTAGCGTCATTTAAAACGGCAAGCACTGCTCAGAGCCCTGCCCATCTCAGCCGGCCACCAAACTGTGTAGCCTCAACTGGAGCGAGGACCTGGAATTGCAGTTATTAATTGCATGCCTGAGTGCTCCGATTTTCTCTCCAGCTCAATGGCTTTGGGGGAGGAGTGGAGTCCGGAGTGGGGGGGTTAGGAAGGAGAGGGGCTGGGAAGCAGCCAGGAGGAGCGGCTGCGAGAACCACTTATCAAAAGAAACTTAAGGAGAGGTCTGCAGACGAATTAAAAAAAAAAAAAGTGGGTCCCTTTTTATCTCGACTGATGCTCTCACGTCGTGGGCGAATGTCACGGCCAAAGCAGGATGCTCTAGTCTCCCGGTTATCCGCACCATTTCCCCGCCCCTTACTCTCAACAGCACTGGCTGACTGCAGGTCTTGGGGTGCTGGCCAGGGGCGTCCTGGACACCCCCGGGGGAGGGGGAAAGCCAGAGGCTAAAGCTGTCTCCAGTGTGGTCTGCCCTGTGCTTCCACCCTCCAGCCCCGGCTCGCCGACGGTGGGCAGAAAACACCCCCAAATCTGGGGGGAGACATCGCGCCTCCCAGGAAAGGGGACTGGACAGAAAGTGCTGGGGTCTAGCTGGGAGTCGTCGCCCCAACGAAGGAGAAGGAACCAGAAGAAAAAGAGAGTAGGGGGGAGGAGATTAGATTGGGGCGGCGGGAGAAGCTGGGGCGGCCCGGAGCGAGGGAATCTCCCATTGAAAAGTTCCCAAGGGCCCGAGAGCCAGGAGTCACCTGCTCGGCGCCGCTGCCGGCTCGCCCGGGCCGCGGAGGCTGGAGCGCAAACTTGCGCGCCCGGGCCCCCTCTCCGCGTCTGCCTACATCTGCACTTGGGGAAGGGGCAAGGAGGGAGCAAGAAGCAAAGACGAACCCCGAGAGCCCGGACGGGCGGTCCGGCGGCGGCGGGCCCCGGGAGGCGGCGCGTCCAGGCTGCGCAGCCAGGCGGGCGGCGGTGGTGGCGGCGGAGGTGCCGGCGGGTGGCGGGGCGCGGAGCCGCCTCCTCGCCAACCCCGGCCGCCTCCTCCTTCTCTCCTCCTCCTCCTGCTCCAGCCGCCAGCTCGCTCTCTCGCTCTCTCGCTCCCTCCCTCCCTCCCTCCCTCGCCGAGCCCCAGCCGGGCGCGGACAGGCACGCGGCGGGCGCGCTCCGCGGCCTCCCCAGGCTCCGCGAAGTTGGGAGGCGCGCAAAGTGCGGCGCGCAGGGGAGGGCGCGGGGGTCTCGGCCGCAGCCCCCCGACCCGACCCCCCGCCCGCTCTCCGGCCGCCGGCTCGCTAGCGCTTCTCCATGGTCGCGGCGGCTAATCAATGACTGAACCGAACAAAGAGCAGCGACGAGATCAATTCCTAATACCTATCGATGGGCAGCGGGCAGCCGAGCCCGGCGAGCCCCGGCGGCCGCCGCCCGCCGCCCCGGACCACCCGCCCGCCCGCCCGCCAGCCCGGGGACCTCCCCGGTGCGCCCGGGGCGCGCCCGGCTCCCCAGGGCCGCGCGCCGCCGCTGCCCGCACTAACCTGGAGTCGCCGTAGATCAAATCGCTTCCAATATTGAAACATCGATCCCACATTGGCGGCCATCTTGGGGGCTATTCGAGACGCGCACACAAGAGTTTGGCTTTTCTCAATGGCTGCACTCAATATCCGGGCTGGACTCCCCCCAGCCCCGGGGCCGCCGCCGGCCGCCCGGGCCCTGCGCGCCGCCGCCCGGGGTCCCTCCCGGCGCCCCCGGCCTCCTGCCACCCGCTGCCCCTCGGCGCCGCCGCGCCGCCGTCGCCGCCGGGCCCCGGAGCCGTGCGCCCCCCCGACCCCGGAGGGCGCGGGCGGAGCGCGCCGGGCGGGGAGCTCGGCGCCCGCCCGGGGGAGGCGGCCGGGGCCGGGGTGGGAGGGGAGGCGAGGGGGGGAGGCCGCCTCTCCGAGAGGCGCCGGCGCCGCCGCTGCCCTGCCTGCAGCCGGCTCCCGGCCCGCGGAGCGCTCGCTGCATCTCCCCCCCAAGTCCGGGGTCGGTGTGGCGCGCGATTGCACTTGACTTTGGCTTTTTGCAAACTTATCAATACTGACGTAACGTGCTAATCAATGCGAAGGGAAGTTTGGGAGGGGGGGCTGCGGAAGGGGGCACAGGCGTGCGGGGCGCCTGCCCCCTCCCCGCACCTGCCTGCCCCCGCTCCCAGCGATGCATACTTAAAAAAAAAAAGTTAATAGTTTGCAATATATTTTTTTTTTCCTTTGCAATGGGAGCACAGACAATTCGGGCCTCCGGCTGCTGCCGCTCCTCCGCCTGTTGGGCTCGGGGTCCGAGGGTCGCAGCCTGCACTTGGGGCTGCATAGACGCTCCGACCGGCCGGCGGGTGGGGACCGCCGGGGGGCGCCACTGAGTCGTGGGAAATATCACCTAGGCGCGCGCTCTGCGCTCCATTAGATGCTGTTATTATTGGAGGGGTGGTCGTGCCATAGCTTGACTGGGGTGGGGGGACACTTCAGGTCCTTTACAATAGGAATTGGTATCATTATTGGGGGAGGGGGACCTAACTGCAAGTCCTTCCCACAGCTTGGCAATACCAGGCCTGTTTTATTGCTGGAGGAGGTTCTGGGCTGACCTCTGACTCGGCCCCCATCCGGCTGCCCATGTTTATTGTTCTGATGTGTTGAGGGGGCCTTAGCCTTTGGGATTGGGGGGACCTCCGGTCCATAAGGACTGTGGATACCGCGCTATTGTTATCATATTTATTACTGGGGAGTCCTTTGCTATACTGTCGTCTTAGGGAGAGGGTATGTAGCCTAGCTTCAGAAGTCCTGGTCTTTTGCATTTCCCTGGACCCTGGACAATAGGGGTGACCAGATTAGACATTTTTCCCTCCTTTTTTGTTTCTGTGCCATCCAAAAGCCCCCAGTCCCCTCCAGCAGGGACTAATTACCCCACCCCAAACCCCCATGTGTGCACACACACACCGCAACTCACTTAAGTCCCTGCTGACGCTGGGGTACCCTCTCGCATGGCCCCCACCCTCACCCGGTACCACCCTACTCTGTTCCCCACCCAAAACAAGGGACATGGTTTCCCTTTTCTCTGATTTTATGGACAGCAAATGGAAATTATATTTCTTTTTATGACCTGGCTTGGACTTCTGACATCACTCTTGGTCTGGAACAATAGATCAATATGGTGGGTTATAAAAAAGATGAAGTTTAGAAGAGTTGTAAAGGAGAGAGAATCATGATGGATATTTTTGATGATTTTCCAATATTTGTGTCTGGAAGCACGTGCTTAGAGGCAATTAAAGTTTTTAATGTAATGTAAATAATTGTTTCACAAACGCTTCGGAAGAAGGTGTGATCTCAGAGCAATCATTCGAGCTGTTTAAAAATGTAATATGATTTAAACAAGGATACAGTATTTCTGTTCCCGTCACCATACATTTTCTGCGAGGTCTGGGCAAATGTATCAATGCCACAGTTGAAAGAGTCCTAAGACCAAAAGTGTGGCGTTCACCATGATGTAATGACTTAGGCCTCATTAGGGATTCTGCGGAGCCTGTTTCTCTGCCAGATTAAATTGCTCCCCATGTGTGGTTTAGCTCAGCTCTCGGTAACTTCACATTTAAATTATAGCTCTCATTCTACAAAATGAATTTAGGGAAATTTCATAACTAACACATTGCAGGGGGGTTTTAATGGCTACATTTTCTCCGGAGTATCTGTAAAGTTTGTAGCTTCCCCAGCTTTCAATGTTTTTTAAAGACCCGTAATTAAAAAAAAAAAAAAGTCTAGAGTGAGTGTGAAATCCTTCCAAGCAAAGTTTAACCCTGCTTCTGATAAAAGATTATTTTAAATTTCTCCTTGACTTTGCAGTAAAAAGACACATTGGCACCATGTTCTGAAAAGGAAAAGGACACTTTGCTCAGTGGTATTCCTGCCCAAAGTGCACAATCTAAATTTAATTGTGAAGAAATATCAAACAACTCTAAATGAAGGGAAAATTCTACAATATAAACAGGCTGTTCTCTTCCAAAATGTCAATGTCACATAAAACAGAGAGAAAGGCTGAGCGAACACACCAGATTAAAGGAAACTAAAGAGATTTGACAAGGGATTAAAATGTATGCTCCGGGATTTACTTTTCCTATAAAGTGCATTAATTGGAGCCAATGGCAAATTTAGAGCAAAGTCAATAGGTTAGATAACTGTACTGTATCAATGTTAATTTCCTGATTGTGATCATTATACCGTGGCTATATAAGAAAATAGCTTTGTTTTTAGGGAGCATACTGAAGTATTCAGGGATAACTAGACATCATTTCTCTGGGTAACTCACACAGAGCAGAGGGAAATAATATGTATCTATTTATCTGGATAGATAGCTTGATAAGGAAAGTGTTGCAAAATGTAACATTTGAGAATGCTACATAGAGAGTACCCAGATAGTACACCTTCCTTGTGGCATTTCTGGAAATCTGACATTATGTCAACATTAAAAGGGGGCTGGAAGCATGGCTCAAGTGGTTGGTAGAGCACCTGTCTAGCAACCGCAAGGCCCTGAGTTCAAGTTCCAATACCACACACCCCCACACACACCAAAAAAAAAAAAAGTTAACAGAAAAATAAACTAATTAAATCTTGGTTGCTTTGGTTTCAGCTGTTGGGCGCCATTGAGTTCCCAAATAAAAATCCTGCCTGCAACTTTTCTTCTTTCCCCACTGAGGTAGGCGCCACCTTTGACCAAGCAGGAAATTGCCACCACAAACATGCTTACCGTGGAGCAGGGAGAAAATCCAATACTTCAGATTGTTTTAAGTCTGTGATATTTTTAAATGACTTAATGCAGCTGGTCTCAGAAGAATTCCGACAATTTTAATGGTAGAAACTCAGTCCCACTGAGGAGCGGTCTGCTACATAAATACTGAATGATCGTGTCTTTCTGTCTGGCCTGAAACATATTAGGTTTGCTTAGTAGCTTATTGCTTTATTCACAAAATAAATTTCAGCCATCTCTCCCTACCATATTCTAAGCGCGTTGTGAGACTGAGCCTTATTACATGTGGGGGCCTGTATTCCAAAGACATCTGTAATCGTCTCAGACTCAGCAATAATGAATTAAGCAGTTAAGTGTTTACCCCTTAAATAGAGTTAGCTGGGAGAAATGATGTTATTATGGGTGGTCCTTAATGAAAGATGCTAAGCCAGGAAATTCAGAATTTCTCTGTAGACAATGGCCTGGGTTGGGGAGCTAAAGAGACAAATTTTTAAATATTTTGATGAAAAGCTGCTTTTCATGCTTTTAGTGGACTCCTCTCTGATAAATGCACGTACACAGATATACAAAAACTTTAACAGGTTCCTGGCTGATTCCTGACTCCAAAGGCCCCACACCAAGATGAGCACTGGAGAATCGCAATGGGAAGAAGTCGCCCTAGTCTGCAGAGGGAGGGAAGCTTGGGGCAGTGGACCCTGAGAGGGGAAGCCACCTGAGAGCCAGGATCCCTTAGGAAAATCAGAAAGTAACAATCCCAGGGAATATAATGGTAGGTCCCAACCCACAAGCTCAATGACATACAGAACTCCCAGCATCAAAACTGAGACAAAAGAAAATGCTATTCCCAGCTCTGGGAGGCCACGGAAGCTGCCAGGCAGGGGGAAGAAACAACTGAACTTCAAATCAGCCTGGAAGAATTAACAGCCAAGGGGAGGGCAGGGACAAGGGACTGCGTGGCAGACACCTGCAGGATGCGCTCCGGGAGGCTGGCCTGAGAATCCTGAGGCTGACTAGAGTGACTACGTACAAGGAACAAGGACCAGGCCTGCCATTCCTCGTCCACAAGGCCAGCAACACTACCACTTTTAAGCACCTATGGTTCTCAGGTAAACCAGAGGCTAGGGGAGGTGGCTATGGTAGTTTAGGTGTGATTCCAACTCTGCCACTTAGAATCTCTGTGACCTCAGGCAGGTGACTTTACCTCTCTGTATCTTATTTCTTTATGCAGTGATCCTGATAGTGGAATTGCCAGATCAAATTGCTCCCTATGTGTGGGAGTGATGAGTACTCAGTCAGTTAATCTGCGTAAAATGCTGTGTAAATGCACAGTATCTGCCAGCTGTCAGCATTACTGTCCTCACGATGTGCAGAGCACATATTCCCATAATGCAGATGGAAAGACTGAGTTCCCGAGAGAAGGGGCTGCCTCATGGTCACATGGTTGCAAAGGGGCAGAACTGGAGTCACTCACAGCAAGCTGGGGCTTTTACACCTCAGGCTGCTGGGACTCTGATGAGGAGGAAGGACAGGCTGAACATCAGAGTGCCAGAAATCTAGGCCTGCAGCCTTAACCATGTGCCAGCTGTTCACAACCAATCAGAAGAATAGACATAAGTGGTAGGCTTTCTGGGGGACTCCCCTCAATGTCACAGACTAGTCAAAGAAACAACTGTGGATTTCCTGTGTTGATTATTCTCCTTTTGGCTCCCTGCCCCCATTCCTTCTGCCCCTAGTGACCTCACTGGCCTACATTTCCCAGACTCCCTTGCACTCTGACTGTCAGTTGAGTTTGGCCAATGGGAGGCCTGAAAGGAGATAAGTAGGTGGGAGG